CTTTTGATGAAATATCTGTTCGTCGAGGTGTGAGGGGTCGACACTTAACAACTCATTTCTCGCACTTTCCTCTATATTTCGGTTTCGAGTTGTTTTCCATTCCTTCTCATAATGAGTATGACTTTCAAAGTCCGTGCTTTCAGTGTAATTCATATTTGAAGCATAGGGTTGACTGAAGTGTTTGGTACACCACTCGATAAATGAAGTACTGATGAGTGGATGGCGCGGACAGATAGACGTCTCGTCGGTGTTTCCGTCTTGACTTTTGTCGGAAACACTTGGCTCTCGACCAAAGATGTATCGTTTGGTGGTATACTTGTAGTGTTGCATATGAGGGAATGGGGAACTCATATTCATTCTGTTGGAAGTGTTTAGACTTTCTCTGATGGGAGTAGTGTTTCGAGACGTGTGGCCGGCATTAGAAGTCGGAGATTCACTCATATATGACTGCAAATTATTAGGCGAATTGGGCTCAGATAAGGACTGTTCTGAATGCGACTCTTTGAGTGAGTCGTATGTCGTCGACGGCTGACAAATACGAGCCTTCATCTCGTCGATCACTGTTTGAGCCATTGTTGCCACTTCTGGGAAGGGGTCGTTTGCATAGGCGGTGATGGCCTTCCATATGGTCGAGAAGACATTAGGGATGGCAGAGCCCGATATGGCGCCGGAGTTAGTCTGATAGTTATGCAGTGAATTGGAAGAGTTGACTCTTTTCATGGCAATGTTCTGTGTGTTTGAATAGTTTGGTGGAGTGACTGCTTCCCCAGGAATGTACCCTTCAATGGCATAATATCATCAATTTGTGAGTAAATCAATCAATTAACAACTTAATGTATAGACAACTTCTAATTACTGTTAGTGAATGCTTGACAATGAGCATGAATTTGTTAATATTAGTAAAACAAACAAAACAAATCAATTCTAACCAAAGGTTTGTTGTGAATTAGGTGTTATCGAAATGGGAACACTTAGGAACTTATTAATGGCGATGGCGGACAAGCGGTCGCGCGACGCCACTTTGCGCAGTCCTTGTGGTGGAGTTCCCACATTCAACGAGTTCTCTTCATTTGGTTAATACGACAATCAATTAATCATTTGGTTATTTGAAACATTCAAAAACAAACTGTTAAACCAGTGCTGGTATACTAATGTTAATTGTAAGCAATACAACAACTCATACCTATGTTAGAGGCAGACATCTGTGAGTTTTGGACCAATTCTTTCATTCTCTCCTCTTCTAACTTGTGGTAAATTATTGCCGCAAAACAGGACTCAAAGATTAAGACCAACCAATGGAGCGCTACTAACAGTTCTTTGCGAACTAGTGGTGAGCTGTCGTTCAAGACTTTGTTGATTAAAGTGATGGCAATGTTGTGATCTAAAGCATTGGCGTGATCTGTCCTATCGATTGCGCTATTGATGAACGTTCCCAAAGCATAGACCGCCGCAGCCCTTACTTCAGGCACCGGGTCGTCCAACAATACAAACAGCTTTTCGTGAGCAGTATTTCGAGTGCCGATCCAACGGGCGCTCTCATTGTTCTCCCAAATATGACCCAAACATATGGCTAACCATTGCCTCAATAACGGTGTCGTACTGATGGGCGCATTGGGGCCATCGCCACACTGGGACTGCAACTGTTCCAAACAGTGATCAATTAGGTT